CCTTACATTTCTTCTGTTAAATCTATTCCAATAATTTAATATTTTGGGAGGATGCTGTTGTAAATAGCATTTTTTAAACAGGAAAAAATACATATAAATATTGTTATTACATGCACATGTGCACATGGGAGTCAAGCAAGATATAAATACTCAGAGAAGGATAAGATGGTTCATGCTTCTATACCATCTTTTGGGGGCCAGATGGGAAGGCCATTTTTTGGATACATAATAACTGTACATATTTATGAGGTACATGTGATATTTCTGTACCTGCATACAATGTATAATGCTCAACCCAGGGTATTTAGGATATCCATCACCTAAAATATTTATCACTTCTTTGTGTTGGGAACATTTCAAATCTTTTCTTCTAGCTATTTTGAAATATGCAAATTATTGATAACTATAATCACCCCAGTCTGTGATCACACACTACAACGTATTCCTTCAATATGACTGTATGTACGCATTAACCAACCTCTCTTCACCGCCCTTCTCCCCCTTCCCAGCATCTGGTAGCCATCATTCTACTCTCTGCCTCTAGGAGATCTCCTTTATTTTAGCTCTCACATGAGTGAGAACATGCAAAATTTGTCTTTCTATGCCTAGCTTATTTCACTTAACATGATGCTGTCCAGTTCCATCCATGTTGCTGCAAATGACAGGGTTTCATTCTTTTTTTAATGGTTGAATAGTATTCCATTGTGTGTATATACCAAATTTTCTTCATTCATTTGTTGATCGACACTTAGGTTGATTCTATATCTTGGCTATCATGAATAGTGCTGCAGTAAACATGGGGATGCTAATATCCCTTTGATATACTGACATCCTTTCCTTTGGATAAATATCCAGTAATGGGATTGCTGGATCACGTGGTAGTTCTGTTTTTAGTGGTTTTTTTTTTTTTTGAGAGGGAGTCTCGCTTTGTCGCCTGGGCTGGAGTGCAGTGGCCGGATCTCAGCTCACTGCAAGCTCCGCCTCCCGGGTTCACGCCATTCTCCTGCCTCAGCCTCCTGTGTAGCTGGGACTACAGGCGCCTGCAACCTCGTCCAGCTAGTTCTTTGTATTTTTTAGTAGAGATGGGGTTTCACCGTGTTAGCCAGGATGGCCTTGATATCCTGACCTCGTGATCCACCCGTCTCGGCCTCCCAAAGTGCTGGGATTACAGGCTTGAGCCACTGCGCCCGGCCTGTTTTTAGTTTTTTTGGGAAACCTCCATACTGGTTTCCATAAGGGCTGTACTAATTTACATTCCTGTCCACAGTGTATGGGAGTTCTCTTTTCTCTCCATTCATGCCAGCATATGTTATATTTTGTGGTTTTGGTGATAGCCATTCTAATTGGGGTGAGATGATAGCTCACTGTGGTTTTGATTTCAATTTTCCTGATGATTAGTACTCTGAGCAGTTTTTTCATATATATTGTTGGCCATTCTTTTGAGAAATGTCTCTTCAGATCCTTTGTCCACTTTTTAATGGGATTTTTTTTTTTGCTCTTGATTTGAGTTCCTTATATATTCTGCATATTAGTCCTTTGTTGGATGAATAGTTTGCAAATATTATCTCCCATTCTGTAGGTTGTCTCTTTATTGATTGTTACTTTTGCTGTGCAAAGGCTTTTTAGTTTTATAAGGTCCCATTTGCCTATTTTTATTTATTTCTATGCATTTGAAGTCTTAGCCATAAAATCTTTGCCCAGACTAATGCCCTAAAGTGTTTCCCTTATGTTTTCTTCTAGTAGTTTTAATGTTTTGGGTCTTATGTTTAACTCTCGAATTCATTTTGAGTTGATTTTTGTGATAGGTGCCCAGTTTCATTCTTCTGTAATATTCAGCTTTCCTAACACCATTTATTGAAGATATTATTCTTTCCTCTGTGTTTTTCTGGTACTTGTGTTGAAAAATCAGTTGGCTGTAAATACATGGATTTATTTCTGGGTTCTCTATTCTATTCCATTGGCTTGTGTCTCAGTTTTTATACCAGTAGTAACCTGTTTTGGTTACTATAGCTTTATGGTGTATTTTGAAGTCAGATAGCATGATACCTCCAGCTTTGTCCATTTTACTCAGCATTACTTTGGCTATCCAGGGTCTTTTGTGGTTTATATGAATTTTAGGATTGTTGTTTCTATTTATGTGAAGAATAGCATTGGTATTTTGATAGGGATTACATTTAATCTGTAGATTGCTTTGGATAATACAGTCATTTTAACAATATTCTTAGAACCTATTTGCATAGTATGTTTTTCCATTTGTTTGTGTTCTCTTCAATTTCTGTCATCAGTGTTTTGTCATTTTTGTTGTAGAGGTCTTTCACCCTTGGTTAAATTTATTCCCAGGTATTGAATATTTTTTGTAACAATTGTAAATGTGATTACTTTTTTGATTTATTTTTCAGCTAGTTATTATTACTGATTTTTGTAGTTGATTTTGTATTCTTCAACTTCACTGAATTTATTGATCAGATCTAAGAGTTAAAAACACACATTGGAGTCTTTAGGTTTTTCTATATATAAGATCATGTCATGTGCAAAGAGGGACAATTTGGCTTCCTCTTTTCCAGTGTGGTTGCCTTGGATTTCTTTCTCTTGCCTGATTGCTTTGGCTAGGACTCCCAGTACTAAGTTGAATGAGAGTCGTGAAAGTGGGACATTTCTACTAAGCCAGACAATGGCAGAGCAAAAAAAAAAAAAAAAAAAAAAAAAAAAAAAAAAAAAAAAACTACAGGCAAATACTTCTGATAAACATAGATGCAAAAATCGTCAACAAAATACTAGCAAACCAAATCAAGTAATATATCAAAAAGATAATATACCATGATCAAGTGGGATTTATCCCAGGGATGCAATGATGGTTCCACATATACAAATCAATAAATACGATACATCACCTCAACAGAATGAAGGACAAAAACTGTAAGATCATCTCAATAGACATAGAGAAGGCATTTGATAAAATTCAGCATCCCTTCATCATAAAAAAAAAAAACTCTAAAAAAATTACACATTAAAGGAACATACCTCAACATAGTAAAGACCATATGTGACAAACCCATGGCTTACATCCTCCTGAATGGGGAAAAGCTGAAAGCCTTTCCTCTAAGAACTGGAGAAAGACAAGAAGAGCCCAGGTTTCTTGTGTTCTTGTTTTTTATTGTTGTTGTTGTTTTGAGACAGGTCTCACTGTGTCACCCAGGCTGGAGTGCAGTGGTGCTATCTCAGCTCACTTCAACCTCTGCCTCCCGGGCTCAAGCGAGTCTCTCACCCCAGCCTCCCAAGTAGCTAGGATGACAGGCATGCGCCACTACACCCAGCTAATTTTTGTATTTTTAGTAGAGATGGGGTTTCCCATGTTGGCCAGGATGGTCTCGAACTCCTTAAGTGATCCACCCACCTTGGCCTCCCAAAGTGCTGGGATTACAGGTGTGAGCCACCATGCCCAGCTGAATGTTTCTTTTCTTCTTATATTGATATTTGTGTATGTGTTGTAATAATTCCTTCTTTTAATGTTATGGATTGGCTTTTTTAGGGAAAGGCTTTTTTTTCTGTAGATGTATCTATATTGTTGCTGGGAGAAGGTGCTTTGGCTTTCTGGGTGGGTGCAGTAGTGTAGTCTCTGTATGATTTCTTCACTTTTATTCAGACTAGTTTCCTGGCTCTTCAGTGGTGTAGGCTGCAATTGTTAGTGGAGGCTGTGACAAGACTTTGCTGGGGACTGATATGCCAGATGGGCTGGTCCTCTGGAATCAGTAGTAGCAGTGGCATTTTAGGAATGCCAGTCTTTGGGCTCCCTTGGGCCTCCAGGTGGTATGCTTGGGTGCTGGCAGTGCCAGTGGCCGACCAAGTGGATGGCTCCTTGGATCCCCTGGGTGACGTGTGAGTAGTTGACGGTGGTAGCAGTGGTGTGTCAGTCCTTGCACCACTCAGCAGCATGTGTGGCTTTTAGTGGTGGCAGCAGGCTTGATAGGCTAGTCTCTAGACCTCCAGGTGGCATGCAGTGATGGGTGGCACTGGTGGCAGGATAAGCTAGGTTTTGCTCTGGAGAACTGTCCTGCAGACTGTAGAATGTTTACCAGCATCCTGGTTCTTTAGCCAGTAAATGCCAGTAACATCACATGGGAACTTGTTAGAAATACAGTTTCACAGGTCCTGCTGCACTCCACTGAGTCTAGAAACCAAGGTGATGTGGCCCAGCATTCTGTGCTTTAACACCCCTCAGGTGATTTTAATGTATGCTCAAGCTTGAAATACCACTGCCTTGGTAGATTACAAGGTTCCCCCTGCCCCAGAAAGAACCTGTATTAGTCAAGGTTCTCTAAAGGGACAGAACTGATAGGAGATATATATATGTGTGTGTGTGTGTGTGTGTGTGTGTGTATGAAGGAGAGTTTTTTAGGAGAATTGATGTGTGTGTGTGTGTGTGTGAAGGAGAGTTTTTTAGGAGAATTGATGTGTGTGTGTGTGTGTGTGTGTGTGAAGGAGAGTTTTTTAGGAGAATTGACTCATATCATCACAAGGTGGCCCACACTAGGCCATCTGCAAACCGAGGAGCCAGGAAGCCAGTCCAAGTTCCAAAACCTCAAAAGTAGAGAAGCTGACAGTGCAGCCTTCAGTCTGTGGTCAAAGGCCCAAGAGCCCCTGGCAAAGCACAGGTGTAAGGTCATGGGTTTTAAATAAGGAACATTTGTAACTTAAACCTTCAGAAGACACCTCACATGAAACTGGCTGCCTCCACAGGAGTAACTTAGATCTCTCCACCTTGTTGTTAGGAACCTGGAACAGAGATTTTTGCATTGGATATGAGATTAGATAGACTTTTAAGGGCTCATCTGACTCTCTGCCTTTCAAGCTTTAATCGGAAGTCTCAGCTTTTTTTCTCCAGTTTTAGATTTAAGAATCTAAACCTAACTTGAACATTGGTACATAATGCCTAATAAATGTTGCTTAAGTAAAATGAACTTGGAAACATTCTTCATGGTATCCTCTTTTTTCTCTTGCAGTTAAAAGGGCCAAATTCCAGGGTTCACCAGGTAAGGCCAGCCTTCTATTATGTCTTTTCCTCTTGTATTTGCTGTTATTTCAAAGCAGTTTAAAAAAGTTATTAATTCATTGATCAAATTCAGTAATTTAATTCATTACTTCACTAAATTAATTCATGAAATCATTAATCTAGTGAAAAATTAGTTTTCTTACCTCTTGGCTAACCCAATTCTACTTCTCAATAATAATTATATATTTAGAGGTTTTGATATACCTTTTCTGACTTTTTCTCAGAAAAAAGTCTGAAATAGTATAAAAGGATAAATATTGACAATTAGTGGAAAAAAATTTTTTTTATACTTTAAGTTCTAGGGTACATGTGCACAACGTGCAGGTTTGTTACATAGGTATACATGTGCCATGTTGGTTTGCTGCAACCATTAACTCGTC